CAGACGGAAATGTTACAATCACTAATTGATACATATTCCAACAAATCGGTAAAACATTATTATATTAGCTTAATTTAATTGCTGATATTAAGGTATTGATTTTGCAGGGCACATCCAATTACTTGCTTAATCCTTGCCAAATGATACCTGAGGTGGATTTCCCTCCCGAGAATGCCGTTGATTTTATAAATGATGACAAATTCGCCAAACCGATATGGTTCATACCACCAATTGAAACACAGTTTGCTCGAGGAGTTCCACATGCATATCCACAAATAAATCCCAAAATATGCCTCGCTGCCCTGCGAAAGGCAGTTTGTGGGCAACTACGCGTCTGTGGATTTACAGATATATCGGAGTCAGCGCTGGTGCTGTTTGCCGATGCAGCACAGGAATTTATGCGTAACTTTATGCAGAAAATTCGGGAAGTACATGCCAATAATCCACAGCTGGAAATTCAAAATGAGGTCGAAGTAAAGAGCCTCGAGAAAGCTTACTACTCGCTCACCAATGCATCATTGACTCAAGTTCATAATTATTTTAAGCACCAGCTAGTGGCTCGTAACCGAAGCGAAATAGCAGAATTTAATGGTGTGCTGCAGGAATATGATAAATTAATGAAGGAGAGTCAAAGTATGCAAAAGGAAGAATTCCAAGAAGGTGATTTTTTGAATATACTGGAGATGCCAGCATCCAATGAGCAAAATGTCGGTGTTTTGAGTGCCGGCATGCAAGATCTGCCGAGTACAGGCTCTGGCAGCTCCCAAAGCGGTGCCGGCATGTTAAGTATGCTTGAGGGACAGTCTCACATGACTGTACAACATGCGGGGTATGTACGTTGTAACTGACTCGACTTTAACAAGTATGTATGTTAAATATTTCTTATTTCAGGATATATAAAGATGCTTTTCGTGCTAAAGAATGTACCACGATAGGACAGAACAATAGTTCAAATATTAATACATATGCAACAGAATCTTTTTTGAATTAAATGCTCAGAATTTAAACCAAACTTACTACCTAACTTTTTTTATACTGTTGCCAGGAGTAAGTGGATTTATATCTGATTAATCTGCATTGAGGACTTAAGAAATTCTTTGGCTATTAAAAGGGAATATGTATGCGATTCATCTGGAAGTAATATTTTTATTTCGTTTGATTTTGGATTCATGCCATTGATTTTTTCTGCGAATTTTCGTAAATTCATTTTCCTCAGGCTTTAGGTGAAGATTTCCTATGCAATCGCTTTCATAATTAAAAACTTTGCCTTTTCGTAGGCGCTTTGACGCCCAACCGGTTATGAGCTGACCACTTAGGATGTCTTTAGACGTTACTGCTGCCTCTTTAAATAAATCTTCTTGCTTTGCCGCTTGATTTGGGTCATCTATTCTACGCTTCTTTATGACGGGTTTTTTTGTTGGGCCTTTGGATTCGAATTCAAATTCTTCGTATGACTTTACATAGCAGCCTGCGTCTGCTAAAATTGTAACACGACTTTTCCATGGTTTCTGCGCAATATTCAGAGTTTGAAAGTCACAGAATTCCACACGACTCATTATTAGTTCGGATAACTTTTTTGCGATATGTTTCCTTACTGCTTCCGTTGTGATAAAATCTGCGTCGGATTTCACTTCCTCTTCTACCAAATAGCGATTAGATCTGGGAGCTAAAATATAAAGGCAATGAAATGGTGAGCCCGTATGCGGTATATTAACCTTTTTGTTCACATATGAACACGTCCACTTTTTTATCCAGACTCTCTTTTACGTGACTACAATCCTCTGATCCTCGAAACATGGCGTTTGTAAGCAATGTGCTGTCAGCTGCTTCCAGAAACTGACGCATTTGCTCATCGTCTCCATCGTCGGAATCACTTGAAGCAGAATCAATCCGCCCTTCAGCCATAGTTCGGTTAATATATTGGAGTATCTTGAAAAGATCAACGAACTAGGTATGAAACAATACAGGTAAATACCAGTACATACTCGATACCTTTCATTCAATACCAAGTAATTTAAGTATCGATACTTTTCACCAATTACTGAGTAGATATCGAAGAAAATACTCGTATCTAAAGCCGATATGGGAGGTGCCACGCCCCTTTTCGCAATAGCCCGTGAGTATGCGATTGCTTTCATATATCTACATACCATGTTCGAGTGCACTTCCATGAACATTTTCTCAAGTATGCAGTATGAAAAATTCGGTTTTGTATGGGAGGTGCCACTCCCTTTTTTTCCACGCCCCTTTTTGAAATAGTAGCATGAACCAAAAATACAAGATCACACCTTCTTAGTAGCCCGTTATAATCGCATTTAGTAAAAAAAAGTTGGGCGACTTTGACATTAGCCGTTTATTTACATTTGTTCGTTGTTTACAATTTGGTGGTGGCTTTTTACTGCAATTTTCTTAATTTTCGCTTGTGACAACGTGTGCACACAAAAGGTAAAGAATAATTTAACACAACGACATGGTTTATAGAAGAATTTGCATAATAAAAATGATTATTCATGCGTTCAACAATTACGCGGTTTTTTTTTGTTCTCTTCGTTGTTTACTTCTTACAACAAAGATGGCGTCGAGATTTCGACAGCTAGAAAATAACTTTTTTCTTTCTTTCCTAAGTCGTGATCTTGTGTCTTTCGTTCATGCTGTGCTCAGCGGTGCTGCAGTAAACTCATTTCAGTGTACTAGTGATTGGAGTTGGCAAAAAAATCGATTCATCGGTGCATCGATACATCGACAATTTATACATCGAATGTTTCGACATACCTACTACAACGAATGTCAAAGCCGCCTTGGTCAAAGCATAATGATAAAATAAATAGCAAAATAAAATATAAAAAAACATTTGTTTCATCTGCCTTTCGGCAGTGATTTAGTTAATGTAAAAATAATAGTATAAAAGTCCCAAAACGCTTAAATTTTATACAGTATTCGTATTAAATTATAAGTATGATGGAGGTAAGTTCGATTCCAAGTTTGAGTACCAGAGAGATGGATAAATGATGGTTTTCAACTATTGACCTTTGTCGCTTGCAGGACGAGTTGGTGCCCCGTTTACCAGTTGACAGCGAAACTATTGACTTTCAGAACTGGCACATAAGCTACCTGAAATCGCACATACTTAAAAGCATATGTAAGAAGGGCCAAGATGGCAACTGCGAGCAAAACGTGGATGACTGCTGTGAGTTGTGCACATATCGTTACGCACTTGAGCTGCCGCACCTGCCAGATATGGTTTTCCATAAGAACAAACTGTCTCTTAAACACAAAGATGGCGCATTGTTGGAGTTCTTGCCAATAGACTCACTGCGGCTGGTGGAGAACGGAAAGCAGGCACTACAAGTGGCTTGTGCACAAGAGTGGAAAGAGAGCAGACCTGACTGTCACATGGCAGAAAAATTTAAGCCATTTGACTGGACTTTTACCACCCATTATCAGGGTACTCTGAATGATAAATTTCGGGTGGAGGATTCAGATCAGACACTAAATAAATTTAAACTGATGCAGCGGGAAAAAATATTATTTTACCATGATCTAACGCTTTTCGAAGATGAACTACATGACAATGGAATCTCATCTAGTTCAGTGAAAATTGTACGCATAAATTACGAGTTTAATTATAATATCGTTGCCATAAATAAAATAATTTTTGTATCATATATATACCTTTCAGCGAGTCATGCCGTCCGGCTTCTTTATACTGCTTAGAAATTTCCTGCGCGTGGACAATGTTTTACTTAAAATGCACGACACCCGTTTTCACTTTGAGATCGAAAACAATTATATATTCAAAGAGTACACAATGCGCGAGGCCACATACGGCGAACTTAAAAATGTTAGTGTACTTGAAGTTTTTAAAAGTTGTTTCAATCCAAAATTTCTTAATCTAACTTAATTTTGCAGGTACCACCTCCATTTTTCACAGTACCAAATGAAATTGAGAACTATTTACCCATTAAGGAAAAGAAAGCCTATAAATTATATTTCAAGTAGAGAGTTTTTAAACAAATACATATAACGCAAAATTTCATGAATAAAAGATTTAAACAACCCAATTAAAAACTTAAATTAATATTTTTAAGTAAATCATAAAATCATACTTAAGGTGAAAGTTATTTTTATTATTATTGTGAGTGGAAGATGTAACATTTCCTCTATATTCAGGCGTTATACATATGTATGTATACACGTTATAGGACAATACATCTCCTGATCGCAGTGCAGGCCTCATCAAACATCTATCTATCTAAGTACGTACATACTGAGTTACAGAAGTGACTTGACAGACACATCAATATTTATGTTCGTGTATGTATTTACCTATGGCAGCAAATTTATTTAAAATTGTTATGTGTTAATTAAGCCAGCATGCATTTACTGTTTGTAGACTGTAAGAAAATAATAGAATATATACATACATACTTGAAATAAGAATTTCCCATTATTTAAGTAACGAAGTCCGATTTGTTTCAAAAGCCGAAAGTAGCAGAGAAACAGTTTTGGTATACCTTATATTTTAGTAACTAATCGATATTTTATGTAGATAACAGATGCGTTCAGATACAGGTAAATGGTCAAACGGCTTGAAATTGCTTATGCCACTTTTAAAATAAACGGGTCATTTAGTAATTTTATTGAGCCGTTTTTTAAGGAACAATTTTTGTGGGCAATTTATATATGGCAGAAGCTATAGCGGAGATCACGTCTTATCAGACTTCTTCAGCGAAATAGCAGCTACAATTTCTACCATATGTAAATTGCTAAGTTAGGGCAAATTAATGTATAAACAAATAAACACAACTCTTTATTTCACAAAAAAAACATGTTTATTAGTTTACAATTTTTCTAGAATCTATGTAGATATTTGAGAAAACATCTTGTGCTTATACCAGGCACTCGAGTTGCTTGTACGTAGTTACGTCCATATTTTTTAAAATTAATCCAAAGTTTTCCTAAAGGATTTCTTTCGAAGAGTTTATCGTAATTTTAACAACCTTTAAGCTCCGCCCAGCAGCGCAGTTAGTGCATTCTTGTAGTCACCAGACGTTTCCGACTGCAAAATAAACATATATATTCATATATGTACAAAATCTAAAATTGTAATTTTATATTCAAAAGTTTACTAAATTAATATTTATATTTTGCTACAGGAGGCTGGGGAAATTTAAAATGCATTGGTAAGAAACTAGTAAATACTTGTTTTGTTTTTTCTCGTTTATATTCAATACAAAGAAAATTCGCAAAGTTCAAAAGAAGCATTGAAAATCCGATAAGGTTCTGTACATAAAATAAGGTGACACGTATCCCGGGATTTATTTTATTTTATTTTTTTCTGTCAAAGTTTGGATTTTTTCATGAACCAGGCAAATCATATACTTATTCAAATCGATATAGCTCGGCTTCTACTGATCGCAGATTTCATTCATCTTAACACCATTTGAAAGCCAAAGAAGCAAGCTCCATATATTTTAGTGCGTATTTTTTTTTCTAAACAGTTTGATTTTTTTAAGTTGATTCTCAGTTTTTACATGCAATTTTCAAGTTTAAAATAACATCATCGCTTTCCTTCTTTCATTCTCTATAAAATCGCTATGTTTAAAAATGGGACGTTTACTATAATAAATATTCATACGACAAACATAATTTTTTTGTATGAGCTAGTAAATTTGTTTTATATTTTTTGAAAATTCTGTTATGCATACAGTGTTAGTTACCTGCATGGTTCTATAATAAAAGGTTTGCTAACTACCCACCAAACAATTTTTGTTGCCGACAATAAGAAAAATGTCGCCCTCGGCAACAAATTTATTGCCGGTAATATCGCCAACGTATCGATTTCTTATTACCAGTCGCTCTAAAACGGCCGCCGAAGGCAACTCACCTCATCGAATCATTTTCTTATTACCTAAATGAGTCGTTTTCTTGTAATTTTGTTATTTATGTTTAGGCAATATTTGGAAGAACTTTATTGTATTTAATATTTCATTTATTTTTGGTTAAAAAATTTTAAAAACGAAATGAATTGTTTGCCCTGCTACATATGGCCCTTCATATTGTTTAAATCCTACCTTTAGCATACATTAGATATTTTTGGAGAATATTGTTGACGCGAAATTCATCAGTTTGGGATTTATTCATAACATATTCATAAAATGACATGAAAGAAATGGTTTTGCCGATTTCTCACCATGGGAGTCCCCAATTTGTTGCCATTGACGATTGTTGCCTGTTTCTCATGTTTTGCTTAGAGCTTTAACACTCCCTTAAAGAAGGTTGCACACACACACACACCCATACACAGTGTCTACCCAGCCATCAGAGAAACGTAAATATAGCCGTCTAGTACGATTTTCCGTATCCGGAAACGAATAGAAAACGACTACAAATTTCGTTAATTTCCGTATCCAAGAACGTTCACAAAAAGATGGTGGTTTTCGTATCCGGAAACGAATAGAAAACGACTACAGTTATCATTCATTTTCGTATCCGGAAAACATTCGAAAAATATGATGTTACTTGAAAGCGTGCCGCTATTTGTTAGCTTCCAGAAGGTGCCGGGTTCGAATTCCGTCAGGCGCTTCCTAATTTTATTTTATTTCTTTTGAACCATGAAAAAGTATCTGTGAAGTGCAGAAGAAAAGCGTTTTGAACGAAAAATTTAATCAGAAAAATTTCGGAAAAAACAACTGAAAACGTATCCGTTTGGCAAACAATTTTCGGTAGTTTTCTGTACATACGTTTTTGCCGCACACTTTAGTGGGAAAACGGATCGTCAAAGTATCCGAAAATGGAATCAGTAAACAGACAAAAATGCGCACTTCATCCACTTATTTTCCTTTTATTAAATTTTAGTCTACAGGAATATTGCCACACGTTATTGTTAACAATGCATTGCATTAAAAAAAAATTTAATTTTTGACTATGAAATAAATAAAATAGTAATAATTGTTTTGGTGTTTGGATCGAATGACGTATCCGCTGAAGGCTTGCTCTGGCCGCTGATCTCTTTAACGTCCCTCGCACCCCATCACATGCTCCTTTACCATTAGAAGTTGGAAAGAAATGCTAATCCGCTTTTCTACCAAAATCGTTCTTAGGTTAGGTGGCAGCCCGATGGGTCAGGGACTCACTGATACAATTAGGAGATTTATCCACACTCAAAATCAATATCAGAGAGTAAGACAAAATCTCTTCAAATTCCCTCTCAAGTAGCGAAACTTGCAAATTTCTGAACGAACGCAAATTTGCAAGTTTCCCTGCAAGTTGGTGTCACGCTTGCATTTCAAATATGAGGTCCAATCCCATATTCCTCGGACTAAAACTAGTAAAACTGTCAAAAATAAAAAATAAAAATTCGCTCAGAGCGAGAGAGTAAAACTGAAAAGTACAGGATCGCTTTCTAGTAAAAAATGGTAACTTCTGTCCACTTCAACATAACCTCCAAATTTTGGTTGTAAAGTTTTTCTCTTTTTGTATGTAAATCAGCTCAGCTCACACATGTAAATAACCAAAAATACTCCCAAATTCATTAGAATCCGATTAACCAAAAAATCTTCGGACTAAAACTGGTAACTTCCGACAGAGAGAGGACCTTATTTACGCTCCTTTTTGTCCTCTCAATCATGATAAAACCAAGGTGCAAGGTAAAACCATCGAGACACAGTCTGAGCTTTGCCAGCAATATAATTTAAAAATTCAAAACTCAAACTCACACATATTTATTAGTTGCGTTTGTTTACAATTTATCCAGTAACTTGCCGGCAACTCTCCAGCGACTTTATTTTTAAGAATTCGCTCTCATAGAAAAAATTTACAAAAAAGTACGCGAACGCTATTCCAGTAATAGTTTGCAACTTTCGTGAACAACTGATAAATTGGTTGTTTATTCGCAGCACATCCCTAATAAAATAATATATTTTATATTTAAATATGTTTATTTTGTGAATTTCCACAATAAAAACCCACAAACAGTTTCTTTATTAGTTTAAATTTCATCCAGCAACATGCGATTAGCTGTTTTTCGTACTGGCAAATTCTTACAAGTAAAAATTTATCCAGTAAAATCCGTAAAATCCAGTAAAAACTTGCAACTTCAACTGTAATTTTTCGCTCTCTCAATTTCCCCTACTTTGCAAGTTTTTGTGTACGAAAACGCCAAAACATGAAAATTCGTAAAAACTTTTACTGGATTTTACTGGAAATGAGTAAACAAACGCAAGAATTCTAATTTTCAATCTCAAACAACAACTATTTTTTAAAATTTTTTTTCAATTTTATATGATTTAAAAATGCTTGCAAACGACAGAAAAAAATCATGGCCGACGAATTGAGAGAATGAATTTACCTTGTAATGTTTTTATCATGCTCTCAATATAGTCAGAGAACCGAGTACGGGATCGATTTTTTGTAAAATCTGACTATTTCTGACGAAAATTTAAAAATTCTTTCAGATGGACAAAAACAGGATCTACATGTATATTGCTTTTTATTTTGACATTCTTTAACATACGCTTACATTTGTTTGTCCCATTAATTGTCTAGTTTCCTAAATCGACTCTGGTTGCGAATGCGTTCCGGTAAATAATATCTTTTTTTCAGCCGAGTATTTTTCAAATAGTTGGAATTAACTAAATTAATTAAGTAAACAAGTATTTACTTCCATTTCTCATTAGAAAATCGCTCATGTTTATACATTTTTAAATATAACGATCTTTTTTTATTCAAATTATCGTTGTTAAAAATACAACCATGTGCCACAATCACGTACTTTTCGTGATTGCGAATTCTTGCTGGTTAAAAATTTTCCAGCAAGAATTTGAAAATTTCTCTCCAGAGAACGATCACTCAAATTTCGAGTGATGGATAATTTTTTGGTCTGCACGAACGCAATTTGAAGTAAAATCATGATAATTCGTACGAATTCGTACAAATTTTTTGCTCGATGAACAGAATTTATGTAATTACGAATTCGGGTAATATAATTGTACAGGTATTACCCGCGACTTTTTTTACCTCGTGCCCTTAATCTTTGTATATCGACTCCGACGACTCTTCGCTGCTCGAAGCTTTGTCGTTAGCCAGATTCAGTTTCCCTACGGCGCTGGCCGTGCAGAACCCCCACCCGAGACAGAGACAGCTTTAACTTAAAGGCCCACCATGGCAGCAAGGCCACCGTTACTTTTTTGGAAATTCTAAAATTAGATAAATATTTGGATATTATGAAAGCGGACATATGTACGTTATTGGATTACAACATGAAAAACTAACATATCGACTGCTTAGTGGAAGATCGACCTATCTCAGCACAATTTCAATACATATTCAAGTGAGATAGGGCGTTTTTGAAACGAATTCTGAAATAGGACGTTTTTGAAAAGTTTTTTTTTTGAGATAGGGCCTTTTGGAACTGGCTGTCGAGGTTGGTCGATCTTCCACTCAGCAGTCGATATGCAATGTGTAATCAACCAAATATGCAGCGGGATTCTAGAAGTGAGTAAAATATGCAAAGCCTCCAGAGAAACAACATATTTATATGTACATACACTTGTGGTCAGCTGATTAAGTCAAGTGACATTTTGACTAGTTTTGGCTATTTTTCTTTCGTTTATTTATTGCTTATATTTCTTTTATAAAATTTTAGCACTTTATCTAACAAACGCCACATAAATCCACGCGTGAAACTGCGTACAAAAATTATCAAAATTCAATGAACTTCAACATTTACGCC